CAGACACGTATGCTGTATCAGACACGTATGTTGTATCAGACACGTATGCTGTATTATATGTTGTATCATACACATCTTACTACATTACATGGCATACATCACACAACAAAATACAGGCAGGTAAATAAAACATTGGCAGGTAAACTGCACATGACATAACGCGTCCATCAGAACTAAACAATGCAGCATTGCTAACGTGGCAACAATGCCATCTCCTTTACTCGCTAATGTCAAAATCTCCTCAACTTCTTCCATGTGCCGCTAACATGGCTCTCAAGATTTCTCTCCCTGATCGGCTTGGGATTCCTCTCACACTCTTGTTTATTAGCGTGCTTGTATAACCTTTACAACAATGGCGCTGCTTAGCCTTTATTTCTTTACGTTGATATTGAAGTTGTATTAAAACCGTCAATTTTAAATACGGACTGGTTCTAACCGTCCAATCTAACCACCATCATGGACTGGTTCTAACCGTCCAATCTAACCACCATCATGGACTGGTTCTAACAGTCCAATCTAACCACCATCATGGACTGGTTCTAACCGTCCAATCTAACCACCATCATGGACTGGTTCTAACCGTCCAATCTAACCACCATCATGGACTGGTTCTAACCGTCCAATCTAACCAACATCATGGACTGGTTCTAACAGTCCAATCTAACCACCATCATGGACTGGTTCTAACCGTCCAATCTAACCACCATCATGGACTGGTTCTAACCGTCCAATCTAACCACCATCATGGACTGGTTCTAACCGTCCACTCTAACCACCATCATGGACTGGTTCTAACCGTCCACTCTAACCACCATCATGGACTGGTTCTAACCGTCCAATCTAACCACCATCATGGACTGGTTCTAACCGTCCACTCTAACCACCATCATGGACTGGTTCTAACCGTCCACTCTAACCACCATCATGGACTGGTTCTAACCGTCCACTCTAACCACCATCATGGACTGGTTCTAACCGTCCAATCTAACCACCATCATGGACTGGTTCTAACAGTCCAATCTAACCACCATCATGGACTGGTTCTAACCGTCCACTCTAACCACCATCATGGACTGGTTCTAACCGTCCACTCTAACCACCATCATGGACTGGTTCTAACCGTCCAATCTAGCCACCATCATGGACTGGTTCTAACCGTCCACTCTAACCACCATCATGGACTGGTTCTAACCGTCTATGCTAACCACCATCATGGACTGGTTCTAACCGTCCAATCTAACCACCATCATGGACTGGTTCTAACCGTCCAATCTAACCACCATCATGGACTGGTTCTAACAGTCCAATCTAACCACCATCATGGACTGGTTCTAACAGTCCAATCTAACCACCATCATGGACTGGTTCTAACCGTCCAATCTAACCACCATCATGGACTGGTTCTAACCGTCCAATCTAACCACCATCATGGACTGGTTCTAACAGTCCAATCTAACCACCATCATGGACTGGTTCTAACCGTCCAATCTAACCACCATCATGGACTGGTTCTAACAGTCCAATCTAACCACCATCATGGACTGGTTCTAACCGTCCAATCTAACCACCATCATGGACTGGTTCTAACAGTCCAATCTAACCACCATCATGGACTGGTTCTAACAGTCCAATCTAACCACCATCATGGACTGGTTCTAACCGTCCAATCTAACCACCATCATGGACTGGTTCTAACAGTCCAATCTAACCACCATCATGGACTGGTTCTAACCGTCCAATCTAACCACCATCATGGACTGGTTCTAACCGTCCAATCTAACCACCATCATGGACTGGTTCTAACCGTCCACTCTAACCACCATCATGGACTGGTTCTAACCGTCCACTCTAACCACCATCATGGACTGGTTCTAACCGTCCAATCTAACCACCATCATGGACTGGTTCTAACCGTCCAATCTAACCACCATCATGGACTGGTTCTAACCGTCCAATCTAACCACCATCATGGACTGGTTCTAACAGTCCAATCTAACCACCATCATGGACTGGTTCTAACCGTCCAATCTAACCACCATCATGGACTGGTTCTAACCGTCCAATCTAACCACCATCATGGACTGGTTCTAACCGTCCAATCTAACCACCATCATGGACTGGTTCTAACCGTCCACTCTAACCACCATCATGGACTGGTTCTAACCGTCCACTCTAACCACCATCATGGACTGGTTCTAACCGTCTATGCTAACACTATAATATATGGCCCTCCCTAACCCTGTGAGGATGTATTTACAAGAAAAAGAAAAGACTCACTTTCCAAAGGTTATCAACCACAGCAGACAGGGATGTGCCACATGCCGTTTGGTACAACAGGAGAAGGAGAGGGAGAGAGTAGGAGAAGCACCAGGCATCTAGAGATGAGGGACTTTTTAGAAACTAGGTGAGAAGCCCCCCCCCCCCCCCCAGCAAATTGGGAACACGACTTTTCCCGGAAAGAATGTGATACTCAACCCCCCCCCCCCCAATAAATTATTTGAGACGCCTTCACCCCCACCGCTAGAAAGTAGGTGATTTCTGGCGTTCATCAACGGTGTTGCTACAGTCACTAACCCAGGCTACAGTCACTAACCCAGGCTACAGTCACTAACCCAGGCTCACTAACCCAGGCTACAGTCACTAACCCAGGCTACAGTCACTAACCCAGGCTACAGTCACTAACCCAGGCTACAGTCACTAACCCAGGCTACAGTCACTAACCCAGGCTACAGTCACTAACCCAGGCTACAGTCACTAACCCAGGCTACAGTCACTAACCCAGGCTACAGTCACTAACCCAGGCTACAGTCACTAACCCAGGCTACAGTCACTAACCCAGGCTACAGTCACTAACCCAGGCTCACTAACCCAGGCTACAGTCACTAACCCAGGCTGCAGTCACTAACCCAGGCTACAGTCACTATCCCAGGCTACAGTCACTAACCCAGGCTACAGTCACTATCCCAGGCTACAGTCACTAACCCAGGCTACAGTCACTAACCCAGGCTACAGTCACTAACCCAGGCTACAGTCACTAACCCAGGCTCACTAACCCAGGCTACAGTCACTAACCCAGGCTACAGTCACTAACCCAGGCTACAGTCACTATCCCAGGCTACAGTCACTAACCCAGGCTACAGTCACTAACCCAGGCTACAGTCACTAACCCAGGCTACAGTCACTATCCCAGGCTACAGTCACTAACCCAGGCTACAGTCACTAACCCAGGCTACAGTCACTAACCCAGGCTACAGTCACTAACCCAGGCTACAGTCACTAACCCAGGCTACAGTCACTAACCCAGGCTACAGTCACTAACCCAGGCTACAGTCACTAACCCAGGCTCACTAACCCAGGCTACAGTCACTAACCCAGGCTACAGTCACTAACCCAGGCTCACTAACTCAGGCTACAGTCACTAACCCAGGCTACAGTCACTAACCCAGGCTACAGTCACTAACCCAGGCTCACTAACCCAGGCTACAGTCACTAACCCAGGCTACAGTCACTAACCCAGGCTACAGTCACTAACTCAGGCTACAGTCACTAACCCAGGCTACAGTCACTAACCCAGGCTACAGTCACTAACCCAGGCTACAGTCACTAACCCAGGCTACAGTCACTAACCCAGGCTACAGTCACTAACCCAGGCTACAGTCACTAACCCAGGCTCACTAACCCAGGCTACAGTCACTAACCCAGGCTACAGTCACTAACCCAGGCTACAGTCACTAACCCAGGCTCACTAACCCAGGCTACAGTCACTAACCCAGGCTACAGTCACTAATCCAGGCTACAGTCACTATCCCAGGCTACAGTCACTAACCCAGGCTACAGTCACTAACCCAGGCTACAGTCACTAACCCAGGCTACAGTCACTATCCCAGGCTACAGTCACTAACCCAGGCTACAGTCACTAACCCAGGCTACAGTCACTAACCCAGGCTACAGTCACTAACCCAGGCTACAGTCACTAACTCAGGCTACAGTCACTAACCCAGGCTCACTAACCCAGGCTACAGTCACTAACCCAGGCTACAGTCACTAACCCAGGCTCACTAACCCAGGCTACAGTCACTAACCCAGGCTCACTAACCCAGGCTACAGTCACTAACCCAGGCTACAGTCACTAACCCAGGCTACAGTCACTAACCCAGGCTACAGTCACTAACCCAGGCTACAGTCACTAACCCAGGCTACAGTCACTAACCCAGGCTACAGTCACTAACCCAGGCTCACTAACCCAGGCTACAGTCACTAACCCAGGCTACAGTCACTAACCCAGACTACAGTCACTAACCCAGGCTACAGTCACTAACCCAGGCTCACTAACCCAGGCTACAGTCACTAACCCAGGCTCACTAACCCAGGCTACAGTCACTAACCCAGGCTACAGTCACTAACCCAGGCTACAGTCACTAACCCAGGCTACAGTCACTAACCCAGGCTACAGTCACTAACCCAGGCTACAGTCACTAACCCAGGCTACAGTCACTAACCCAGGCTACAGTCACTAACCCAGGCTACAGTCACTAACCCAGGCTACAGTCACTAACCCAGGCTATCGGGATAGAAATTTAGACCCAGTCTATCTGGATAGTTAGACCCAGTCTATCTGGATAGTTAGACCAAGTCTATCTGGATAGTTAGACCAAGTCTATCTGGATAGTTAGACCCAGTCTATCTGGATAGTTAGACCCAGTCTATCTGGATAGTTAGACCCAGGCCACCTGGATAGTTAGACCCAGGCCATCTGGATAGTTAGACCAAGTCTATCTGGATAGTTAGACCCAGTCTATCTGGATAGTTAGACCAAGTCTATCTGGATAGTTAGACCCAGTCTATCTGGATAGTTAGACCCGGGATAGAAACGTAGACCCAGCCCTCTCTAGTGAAAGATGCATACGTTCTCCTTCCTATTGAAACAAGCATATATGATGCGCCCCCCTCTTCAGCATTCTATACGGTTAAACAAACAGCGTTTGGAAATGAATACATACCTTCTTGACAGTAACTGAGATGACAAGTAGTAATCCACGTCACACCTGACAAAAAAAGAAATTGTTGGATTTTAATCTTCTTCTTCTTCGTTCTTTGTTGGATTTTAATGATGTCCTGTATTCTATAGTCAAACTAGCTATCCATGCGAATGATTCTTTAATCCAACTATATATCATTTTAATGGCATATATCATTGAGCTCTAGTCAAACTATAAATTCTAATGAGGGTCTAGTCAAACTATCCATTATAATGACGGTCTTTTCAGTCGCAGAAACACACGTTTAGAAACTCATGAAAGCGGCTTTCATGGTTGTATGCATGTAGAAAAAACCGAATTACATGCTTTGGTATAGGTTTAGATGATGTTTCTTTGGTATAGGTGTAGATGATGTTTCTGTGGTATAGGTGTAGATGATGTTTCTGTGGTATAGGTTTAGATGATGTTGCTGTGGTATAGGTGTAGATGATGTTGCTGTGGTATAGCTTTAGATGATGTTTATGTGGTATAGGTTTAGATGATGTTGCTGTGGTATAGGTGTAGATGATGTTGCTGTGGTATAGCTTTAGATGATGTTTATGTGGTATAGGTTTAGATGATGTTGCTGTGGTATAGGTGTAGATGATGTTGCTGTGGTATAGCTTTAGATGATGTTGATGTGGTATAGGTTTAGATGATGTTGATGTGGTATAGGTGTAGATGATGTTGCTGTGGTATAGCTTTAGATGATGTTTATGTGGTATAGGTTTAGATGATGTTGCTGTGGTATAGGTGTAGATGATGTTGCTGTGGTATAGCTTTAGATGATGTTGATGTGGTATAGCTTTAGATGATGTTGCTGTGGTATAGGTGTAGATGATGTTGCTGTGGTATAGCTTTAGATGATGTTTCTGTGGTATAGGTGTAGATGATGTTGCTGTGGTATAGATGTAGATGATGTTGCTGTGGTATAGGTGTAGATGATGTTGCTGTGGTATAGGTGTAGATGATGTTGCTGTGGTATAGGTTTAGATGATGTTGCTGTGGTATAGGTTTAGATGATGTTGCTGTGGTATAGGTGTAGATGATGTTTCTGTGGTATATGTTTGTATGATGCTTAATATAGGATCTGACTTGAATACCAGTAATTTTTTTTTAACTTTTACTTGAAACAGGAAGTAATTAATTACTATAAACCTTATCAGACACAGAACTGACGACTTGAAAATTTATAATTGTTTTTTTTCCACATAAATTATTGAAATATACAGTTCATAGGTAAAAAAAAATATTTAAAAAAAATGTAACTTGTAAATTTAGCAGCCAAAAGAGTAATTCAACATGAAAAAGACCATGGGCCTGTTTCACAGAGATCACCCGTTTCATGTCTCCTTTTCGAAAACTGAAACACATTTCGATTTATCTCGCTCACCGCAATCGTTTGTAACTCAATAGACAACACAATACTCGATATCAAATACATACAACAAACATAAGGTTTTAACATTTTGATTGCTCGGCTTGACCATCTCAACTTGACCATCTCACCTAGACCATCTCAACTTGACCATCTCAACTTGACCATCTCAACTTGACCATCTCAACTTGACCATCTCAACTTGACCATCTCAACTTGACCATCTCAACTTGACCATCTCAACTTGACCATCTCAACTTGACCATCTCAACTTGACCATCTCAACTTGACCATCTCAACTTGACCATCTCAACTTGACCATCTCAACTTGACCATCTCAACTTGACCATTTCAACTTGACCATCTCAACTTGACCATCTCAACTTGACCATCTCAACTTGACCATCTCAACTTGACCATCTCAACTTGACCATCTCAACTTGACCATCTCAACTTGACCATCTCAACTTGACCATCTCAACTTGACCATCTCACCTAGACCATCTCAACTTGACCATCTCAACTTGACCATCTCAACTTGACCATCTCAACTTGACCATCTCAACTTGACCATCTCAACTTGACCATCTCAACTTGACCATCTCAACTTGACCATCTCAACTTGACCATCTCAACTTGACCATCTCAACTTGACCATCTCAACTTGACCATCTCAACTTGACCATCTCAACTTGACCATCTCAACTTGACCATCTCAACTTGACAATCTCAACTTGACCATCTCAACTTGACCATCCCAACTTTCAGATCAACTTATCAAACGACTTACATTGTTCTAGGCTTGCTTGTTTTAAAACAACGGTTTAAATTCAATGGTTGTAAAAATTCTAAATGTATCGGTCATGCTACTGCCTACAAATTTCCACCAATATTTGCTTCACGAAACTGCCTATTGTAGAGATGTGGTTTAACGTTAGTCAATACAAATGATACAACTATAAGCTGCCAATTGTATTAATGTGGTTTAACGTTAATCAATAAAAATGATACAACTATAAATGGCTTGGGAATGAGTCATGGTCTCCACTTTAAATATTTTCAAAATTGTATTTGACTTCCATTAAAAAATAAACAAAGATTTCTTCAAACTGTGGAGAGTCAAATACTTCCAGTGGCGTCTCTGGTTTAGGGGGAAGACGGAATGCGCCTCTCGCCTTACTCCACTATCTATACCCGGCACTGCAAAGGTTAGAAATAATCAATTCAGGCTGCTTAAAGATCAAAGGTCATTTTGCATGCACGTTCCCAAGCTTTGCCTGCTTAAAGGTCTCCAGGTCAAATTTCAAGATGATTCCATTAGTGAAGTTAAAGAGACACATCAAGAGTTTGCAATCTACTTAGGGCAAGTCAAACCTGTGGCGACCATCTCAACCCAACCTACACATTTCTCGTTTCTTTTGTTAAGATGAAATTAATAACCATCCACTTATAAATAGCCAAAGTGTAAACCACTGGTCTCATCCCTTCTGTTCTCTTACATTTTACACCAGAACTTAGTTTAAAAAGTGCATGATACAGATCTGAACAAATAAATAACAGCCATAAGGACCTCCATCTACCAACATGTAGCCTCCATCTACCAACATGTAGCCTCCATCTACCAACATGTAGCCTTTATCAACGCCTCCATCTACCAACATGTAGCCTCCATCTACCAACATGTAGCCTCCATCTACCAACATGTAGCCTCCATCTACCAACATGTAGCCTCCATCTACCAACATGTAGCCTCCATCTACCAACATGTAGCCTCCATCTACCAACATGTAGCCTCCATCTACCAACATGTAGCCTCCATCTACCAACATGTAGCCTCCATCTACCAACATGTAGCCTTTATCAACGCCTCCATCTACCAACATGTAGCCTCCATCTACCAACATGTAGCCTCCATCTACCAACATGTAGCCTCCATCTACCAACATGTAGCCTCCATCTACCAACATGTAGCCTCCATCTACCAACATGTAGCCTCCATCTACCAACATGTAGCCTCCATCTACCAACATGTAGCCTCCATCTACCAACATGTAGCCTCCATCTACCAACATGTAGCCTCCATCTACCAACATGTAGCCTTTATCAACGCCTCCATCTACCAACATGTAGCCTCCATCTACCAACATGTAGCCTTTATCAACGCCTCCATCTACCAACATGTAGCCTCCATCTACCAACATGTAGCCTCCATCCACGCCTCCATCAACCAACATGTAGCCTCCATCTACCAACATGTAGCCTCCATCTACCAACATGTAGCCTTTATCAACGCCTCCATCTACCAACATGTAGCCTCCATCTACCAACATGTAGCCTCCATCTACCAACATGTAGCCTCCATCTACCAACATGTAGCCTCCATCTACCAACATGTAGCCTTTATCAACGCCTCCATCTACCAACATGTAGCCTCCATCTACCAACATGTAGCCTCCATCTACCAACATGTAGCCTCCATCTACCAACATGTAGCCTCCATCCACGCCTCCATCAACCAACATGTAGCCTCCATCAACACCTCCATCTACCAACATGTAGCCTCCATCTACCAACATGTAGCCTCCATCTACCAACATGTAGCCTCCATCAACCAACATGTAGCCTCCATCTACCAACATGTAGCCTCCATCTACCAACATGTAGCCTCCATCTACCAACATGTAGCCTCCATCCACGCCTCCATCTACCAACATGTAGCCTCCATCAACACCTCCATCTACCAACATGTAGCCTCCATCTACCATCATGTAGCCTCCATCTACCAACATGTAGCCTCCATCTACCAACATGTAGCCTTTATCAACGCCTCCATCTACCAACATGTAGCCTCCATCTACCAACATGTAGCCTCCATCTACCAACATGTAGCCTCCATCTACCAACATGTAGCCTCCATCTACCAACATGTAGCCTTTATCAACGCCTCCATCTACCAACATGTAGCCTCCATCTACCAACATGTAGCCTCCATCCACGCCTCCATCAACCAACATGTAGCCTCCATCTACCAACATGTAGCCTCCATCAACCAACATGTAGCCTCCATCTACCAACATGTAGCCTCCATCTACCAACATGTAGCCTCCATCTACCAACATGTAGCCTCCATCCACGCCTCCATCTACCAACATGTAGCCTCCATCAACACCTCCATCTACCAACATGTAGCCTCCATCTACCATCATGTAGCCTCCATCTACCAACATGTAGCCTCCATCTACCAACATGTAGCCTCCATCAACACCTCCATCTACCAACATGTAGCCTCCATCAACCAACATGTAGCCTCCATCTACCAACATGTAGCCTCCATCTACCAACATGTAGCCTACATCTACCAACATGTAGCCTCCATCTACCAACATGTAGCCTCCATCTACCAACATGTAGCCTCCATCTACCAACATGTAGCCTCCATCTACCAACATGTAGCCTCCATCCACGCCTCCATCTACCAACATGTAGCCTCCATCCACGCCTCTATCTACCAACATGTAGCCTCCATCTACCAACATGTAGCCTCCATCTACCAACATGTAGCCTCCATCTACCAACATGTAGCCTCCATCTACCAACATGTAGCCTCCATCTACCAACATGTAGCCTCCATCTACCAACATGTAGCCTCCATCTACCAACATGTAGCCTCCATCAACGCCTCCATCTACCAACATGTAGCCTCCATCAACGCCTCCATCTACCAACATGTAGCCTCCATCAACGCCTCCATCTACCAACATGTAGCCTCCATCTACCAACATGTAGCCTCCATCTACCAACATGTAGCCTCCATCCACGCCTCTATCTACCAACATGTAGCCTCCATCTACCAACATGTAGCCTCCATCTACCAACATGTAGCCTCCATCTACACCTCCATCTACCAACATGTAGCCTCCATCAACGCCTCCATCTACCAACATGTAGCCTCCATCTACCAACATGTAGCCTCCATCTACCAACATGTAGCCTCCATCTACCAACATGTAGCCTCCATCAACACCTCCATCTACCAACATGTAGCCTCCATCTACCAACATGTAGCCTCCATCTACCAACATGTAGCCTTTATCAACGCCTCCATCTACCAACATGTAGCCTCCATCTACCAACATGTAGCCTCCATCTACCAACATGTAGCCTCCATCTACCAACATGTAGCCTCCATCTACCAACATGTAGCCTCCATCTACCAACATGTAGCCTCCATCTACCAACATGTAGCCTCCATCTACCAACATGTAGCCTCCATCTACCAACATGTAGCCTCCATCTACCAACATGTAGCCTCCATCTACCAACATGTAGCCTCCATCTACCAACATGAAGATCAACCAACATAAATGTAGCCTCGAGTCTGTATTAATATGTCAGATTAAAATTAATTTCGGCAACAAAAATGAGCTGAAAAAATAATGTTTTTATGTGCCAAAAATTAAACTTGTTACTGAGAGCTGATATCCTTAAATCGTAGCATCCGAGAAATTATTTTTTGACCATCGTCTAAAAGTGACACCATGCATTGACTTCACGACGACTACAGTTATAAAATATACCAGAAAGTAATCGTGTTATGTTGTAAGTATGATAAAAATGGAGACATGATAAAACAATGGTGCATAGTTCTATTACTCATGTAAGCTACTCTTGTCACCATGCGGTCGTTGACAATGTCAGCTTAGCTGGTAGACATTACATCCACTGACAGGTATGCATGGCTCTAGCTACATCAGGGTCAAACACATAGACTAGAAGCAACCAAAAAACACGAAACTCAATTCCTTCCAAGTCAAACAGATGTACGTGTCAAAGTTCTAGTCATGACAAAAATTTTCTACTGACGTCTTTCAGCAGGAGAGTCTGTTTAAGTGTAGGTCAAGTAGAGGATGTACAAAGATGTCAAGTAGAGGGTGTACAAAGTTTTCATCTGAATGGAGAAAGATACACTCCCAGCGAAAAACAAAAATGACACTACACTCGACACAGAAATGCCCAAACTTGGATGAGAAAAAAAATCATTATCAGGAGTGACTTTTACTAGTCCAAGCAAAACACACACACACATACACACACCAACAAAAACATATCAACTTTATTGGCCTGTGGTGAGAATAAGTCCAACATTTATTTAAGTCCAACAGTTCAAAGTTTAGTTAAACTGTCGCTTTGGTTGGCTCCCCATTATTCAACTACACGATTGAAACGAGTAACCAAAACATAGGACCTATCCAGTTTTAAAAAGAGTTCAAATTTCAACTGGACATTTTTTGGTTTTTTTTTAGCTTGGGTGTATACATTCCTGAGATCGAATAAGTCATTAGAGATAATTTTTAAAAAGATATCTGATGTTATACCTTAGGGGCTATGACAGCAGACTTTTAAAATTGTTTTTTATTATAATTGAACATGTGTCTTCTATATTTTAAAAGGTTTACTTTTTACCTTTAAAATAATGATAAACTAAAAGTATAAATTCTATAAGGACAATATTTCACCGACCAATAAAGTTTTCATTGATTACGCATACATATATGTATGTATTTATATACATATATATATATATATATATATATATATATATATATATATATATATATATATATATATATCACACAACAAAAGCACTTCAATTAAAAGAAAAGGAAAACATTAGAAGTGTTAAAACAAAAAAAAACAGCGCAACCCGAAAAACAACAAGAACGACAACAGCTGGCTAACGTTAAATGTGTTTTAATGAGAAAAGTTCATCCAGCAAGATTAAATATGAACCAAACCAAAGTCACAAACAGCAGAACTATCGTACCGTTCTCCTGGGCACCAGGGGTCGGCCCATAAAGGCAGAATGTGGACGTCTGGTAAAGAGAGGACAAAATTTCACACAAGTAAATACTCATTGCTATAGTGTTTGGTCAATTGTCCAACAGTCATCCATTTATATTGTTCAGAAATTATCTTTATGCCATTCTTGTCCATTTATTTCAGTTGAAATGTAGCTACATTGTGTAGTAAAAGTGTCAAACCTAAATTTAAAATGTATACTTTAAAACAGGTTTTTTGAGAAACCTAGGTCACTGTAAAACACAGTTAAGATTGAGCTTAAAATGGTGAATTCTCGCTCAGATTGTTCTATTTGAATCCAATCAACTAACATATTTTTCTACCCCCCGAGAAGCCATCCAGTAGCTAACCAAGTTGAGTGTGTATAAATTGTGTTTTATACAAAACACTGGATCTCATTTTTTTTAAATTTTAAAATGTCTTTAGATTATTAAGTAAATAAATATTTTTCACCAGAGACCTGCATTTAAAGGGTTAATAAACGTTTTTTTTTCACACCAGAGACCTGCATTTAAAGGGTTAATAAATGTTTTTTTTCCACCAGAGACCTGTAATAAGAGGGTTAACAAATTAAAGACACAATCAGGTCCAAGCTATGTTGGTCTCTAATTACAAACACGTGAGCGGATCAGCAAGACCTTGAGCCCAGTATATATATATATATATATATATATATATATATATATATATATATATATATATATATATATATATATATATATATATATATATATATATATATGAGTGTGTGTGTGTTTGTGTGTGTATGTGTGTGTGTTTATTGTGAAATTATGACTGGCAAGCCCTATAGAGCAGAAAGCAATACAACACGATGACATGCTAATGTAAGCAAACACTTACCCGTATTGACTAGGAATTAATCCGGGGATCGACTTGATAGCGTACGGCAAAACACCTGAAACATACATTCAAAACACATGAAACATACATTCAAAACACATGAAACATACATTCAAAACACATGAAACATACATCCTAAACATAAGAAACATTAATATGCTAAGATAAGTAGATATACTGCACTTAACGAAAGTTTAAGTTTTTTTTATGGTTAGAATACTGCACAAAATATCAGGTTTGATTAAGTTTTATGATGGATAGAATACTGCACAAAAAGGAAGGTTTAATTAAGTTTCATGATGGGTAGATTACTGCACAAAATGTAAGGTTTAATTAAGTTTCATAATGGGTAGATTACTGCACAAAATGTAAGGTTTAATTAAGTTTCATGATGGGTAGATTACTGCACAAAATGTAAGGTTTAATTAAGTTTCATGATGGGTAGATTACTGCACAAAATGTAAGGTTTAATTAAGTTTCATGATGGGTAGATTACTGCACAAAATGTAAGGTTTAATGAAGTTTCATGATGGGTAAATTACTGCACAAAATGTAAGGTTTAATTAAGTTTCATGATGGGTAGATTACTGCACAAAATGTAAGGTTTAATGAAGTTTCATGATGGGTAGATTACTGCACAAAATGTAAGGTTTAATTAAGTTTCATGATGGGTAGATTACTGCACAAAATGTAAGGTTTAATTAAGTTTCATTCTCCGCATTAACTAAGCTACACATGTGCTTTTTTGTTTTCCTTCTAGTTAATGATTCCTAAGATTAGATAGATTAAATCTAACTCCTCTGCTCCCAGCACACCCCCCACTGTGCCAATGGCCTCAATCTGTGGAACGTTTTACCTTCCAGCACCCATGCCCCCCCCCCACACACACACACACACATGCTCCCTGCTGTGTGTTGCTCCCAGCGACTCAACAGAAACCTTGCCAGTGCTGACGTCTACATACTGAGCCAGGTGTGTGAGGGTTGAAGGAATGGACCGTTAACAGAACATCACTCGACTCAACAGAACAATCGACTAACATAAACAGAGGAGTCAACTCAATTAAAGAGTCAGCCAACGATCAAGCTAGACAAAAAAGTAGTCAACAGTGGAGTCAGCAAACTGCGTGCCAGGGAAGCTTCCTAAAACAAAGGGAGGTGATCAAATATTAATTCGTTGGCTAAAGAAAATTAAAAAAAAATGCCAGCCAAGTAGTCAACTTAAGATTAGATCAATCGTTACTAAAGCAGCTACTACAATGTCATATTCAAAGTTTCTTTTAGGCATCTATTTCAGGGGGAAGGGGGTGCACTGCCCAACAAAACCCTTCTACTTCCACCTCCACCCCCCCCCACCCCCGAACGAAAAGAATTTATATAAAAAACAGTGTCCGTCCGCTCGTAAAATTTAGTCCGCCTAATCAAGTGGTATAAGTAGACTTGACCATTATATAGAACCTAATCACGTGGTATAAGTTGACTTGACCATTAGATAGAACCTAATCACGTGGTATAAGTTGACTTGACCATTAGATAGAACCTAATCACGTGGTATAAGTTGACTTGACCATTATATAGAACCTAATCACGTGGTATAAGTTGACTTGACCATTATATAGAACCTAATCACGTGGTATAAGTTGACTTGACCATTTGATAGAACCTAATCACGTGGTATAAGTAGACTTGACCATTAGATAGAACCTAATCACGTGGTATAAGTTGACTTGACCATTAGATAGAACCTAATCACGTGGTATAAGTTGACTTGACCATTATATAGAACCTAATCACGTGGTATAAGTAGACTTGACCATTATATAGAACCTAATCACGTGGTATAAGTTGACTTGACCATTTGATAGAACCTAATCACCTGGTATAAGTAGACTTGACCATTAGATAGAACCTAATCACGTGGTATTAGTAGACTTGACCATGATATAGAACCTAATCACGTGGTATAAGTAGACTTGACCATTAGATAGAACCTAATCACGTGGTATAAGTAGACTTGACCATTAGATAGAACCTAATCACGTGGTATAAGTAGACTTGACCATTATATAGAACCTAATCACGTGGTATAAGTAGACTTGACCATTAGATAGAACCTAATCACGTGGTATAAGTAGACTTGACCATTAGATAGAACCTAATCACGTGGTATAAGTAGACTTGACCATTAGATAGAACCTAATCACGTGGTATAAGTTGACTTGACCATTATATAGAACCTAATCACGTGGTATAAGTAGACTTGACCATTAGATAGAACCTAATCACGTGGTATAAGTAGACTTGACCATTATATAGAACCTAATCACGTGGTATAAGTAGACTTGACCATTAGATAGAACCTAATCACGTGGTATAAGTTGACTTGACCATTATATAGAACCTAATCACGTGGTATAAGTTGACTTGACCATTAGATAGAACCTAATCACGTGGTATAAGTTGACTTGACCATTATATAGAACCTAATCACGTGGTATAAGTTGACTTGACCATTATATAGAACCTAATCACGTGGTATAAGTAGACTTGACCATTAGATAGAACCTAATCACGTGGTATAAGTAGACTTGACCATTATATAGAACCTAATCACGTGGTATAAGTAGACTTGACCATTAGATAGAACCTAATCACGTGGTATAAGTTGACTTGACCATTATATAGAACCTAATCACGTGGTATAAGTTGACTTGACCATTAGATAGAACCTAATCACGTGGTATAAGTTGACTTGACCATTATATAGAACCTAATCACGTGGTATAAGTAGACTTGACCATTGACTGGTCCTGGTCTCCATGTTGTCGCTAGGTGATGAGGTTCTATTTAGGTGACGGTCGTATCAAACATCAGAATGACATATTATTTTTTCTTTGTGAGAGAATGTGTGGGATTAGAGCGGTTATTGTGTGGGATTAGAGGGGTTATTGTGTGGGTTTAGAGGGGTTATTGTGTGGGTTTAGTTGAGTTATTGCTGTCTTTTGTGTGTTCACAAATTGTAACAATTTAAAAGCTTCTGATAAAGAATTGTTCAATAAAAACATATAAAACAATAGCAGCGGGTAAATACGTTGAACAAAAGATGAACGGTGTTGTAGATCAGAGCGTCTGAAGTCCGGGCTAATGGGGCGTGTTTGTTGAAGCTGAAAACATATTCTTGAGTAGACTGACTTACAAGCCAAGTCTTGTGCTGATTCGAACCGCTCCACTGAAGCTGAACGCACGGAACAAAAGAATAATGAACTGTGACGTACGGCGTGCTGCGGCGGGTGATAATTGACGCGGACCGTTAGTTAGCCGCCAGTTTAGTTAGCTTGGGCAGACGGGCGGGTCGAGGCTTGCTCTCCGCTCCCTGTGGCCGGCAGTAGCGGGGGATCTAACACCAGCTTGGTCGGGCGGAGAACAGTCGGCCACATTTGAAAAGATCAACACGACCACGTCACGATCTAATCGCAGGGGGTTGTCGGCTACAAAACTGTTATTGTGTGAGCTAGCCTTGACGGGGCAACATGTCTAGACCCAGATCACGTATTGTCATTGGATCACCCAAATAACTTGATTAAGGGATCCAGGAGCGGTGGCTGTGTCTTTTGATACGGGTAAATCACTAGTGTCATTTGCTCTAAAGCTTCATTCAAGAGATAGCATCAAGTCGAGAGGTTCGTCCCCAGCCAAACAATACCGGGCTTGTCGGTAAAAAAACATCGATTTATCGGTGATTTCAACAACTATAATCTGATCTAGCTAATAAATACACTCAGGGGGGCATATTAATTATGCACAATAATAATTAAAAACAATTAAATTCTGTATTCACCGAAAGACACTTGATATAATTAAGTTATTTTATTTTATATAGTACGATCTGAATAGTCCAGACAAACTACGTTATCAAGTCTTTAAACGGTAGCGTTGGCAGCGTGAATTTTTAAGGGGGGGGGGGGGGGAGGGGTCTTATACACACACGTGTACGTAAATAAATTTATATATTTATATTCCAATGCCAAAAAAAACACCTAAAAAATTGCTTTATATGAATTATCATACAAAATTTGAATGCTAGACCCGAAAGGAGAACATAGTCGCCAATAGCTGTAACCAATCGAGAAATTTTAATTCAATAGCTGTAACCAATCGAGAAATTTTAATTCAATAGCTGTAACCAATCGAGAAATTTTAATTCAATAGCTGTAACCAATCGAGAAATTTTAATTCAATAGCTCTAACCAATCGAGAAATTTTAATTCAGGGCCGATGGGTGGGAGCCCAACATGAGCAGTGGGGGAGATGGGTGGGAGCCCAACATGAGCAGTGGGGGAGTTGGGTGGGAGCCCAACATGAGCAGTGCGGGAGATGGGTGGGAGCCCAACATGAGCAGTGCGGGAGATGGGTGGGAGCCCAACATGAGCAGTGCGGGAGCCCAACATGAGCAGTGCGGGAGATGGGTGGGAGCCCAACATGAGCAGTGGGGGAGATGGATGGGAATCCATTCATCATCTTGAAATACTTCCATACACGTGGCAAGTCAACTTTATTCCAGATCATCATCTAAGGTGGACAAGTAAGTAGGTCAATCTATGGGGTTATAATTAACTAGGTCATTTTTTGGGAGTATATAGCTAACTAGGTCAATCTAGCTAACTTGTGTTTTTTGCTAATGTCCGTTCTAGATATCCCAAGTGTCAGTTGAAATAAGAAAAAATCCCTAGCATATCTAACATCCCAAGTGTTAGCTGAAATAAGAAATAACCCTGTTTTTCCTTGTTTTATTGTTAAACCATCATCCAAAAGTAAGTATTCTGCCAGTAATGTTTAGTTGCCATTCAACCACAACAAGAAATCTGGTTGTCGAGTTGGTCTTTTTATTTTATGTTGTGTAATGAAGAAACAGAAACGTGAAGCATTCTTGGTATTTGTGTACAGATACACTGGTAGGAAATAAATCTAGTTCACAGAAAACACGTTCAAAAGACCCTATCCATTTCGCTTTAGACGGCTTACGTCATAGGAATCCGATAAACTTTTTTTTTAGGAAAGTTGGCAAAAGCATTAACTGTTAACTGGTTGTCGGTCGAACTACATTTACGTATAGGATGACGATATTAGTGTGGGCAATATGTATCTACGTCGTGACTTATAGGATGACGATATTAGTGTGGGCAATATGTATCTACGTCGTGACGTATAGGATGACGATATTAGTATGGGCAATATGTATCTACGTTTACACCTGGTACAGTGGTACAACTAACATCACACCTGGTACAGTGGTACAACTAACATCACACCTGGTACAGTGGTACAACTAACATCACACCTGGTACAGTGGTACAACTAACATCACACCTGGTACAGTGGTACAACTAACATCACACCTGGTACAGTGGTACAACCTACATCACACCTGGTACAGTGGTACAACTAACATCACACCTGGTACAGTGGTACAACTAACATCACACCTGGTACAGTGGTACAACTAACATCACACCTGGTACAGTGGTACAACCTACATCACACCTGGTACAGTGGTACAACTAACATCACACCTGGTACAGTGGTACAACCTACATCACACCTGGTACAGTGGTGAACTAACATCACACCTGGTACAGTGGTAGACTAACATCACACCAGGTACAGTTATGGTACATATTATGGTGTTTTAGACACATATTGACCTGTTTCTATAAAGATTACGCTAGACACCTATTTACATGTTTATTACATGACGTGTGCGCTAGACACCTATTTGACCGTTAACAGCTTTGTATAGCCGTGAGAGGTTTTTTTTCCTGTTCTTTGCTTAGACGGTGATATCGTTAGACTAACTAGGACTAGCGTGGATAAACCAACAGTTGAAACGGTTCTCAATGATTGTGTTCCGGTTGTTGCCCTTCTTATGCCTAGCACTTAAATTTCCTGGCTTTGTTTGTTTGTCTTATTGAATTAACAAGGGAAATTTGATTGACTCTATTCATAAGACTGTTGATCTACATAAGTCGTCTGCTAAGTCAAACAACTGCTAGCAGACGGCAGCAAATATGTGCTTGATTATTCACGTCAAGACCTATTCATTTTATTTATAGCTGCAGCCGAAAGACGTTGATCTCACAATATTGATCATCTGGACAGGGGGTAAAGTGGTATGGTAGCTGTCGTGTTATAGGGGGTTGGTAGCTGTCGTGTTATAGGTGGTTGGTAGCTGTCGTGTTATAGGTGGTAGAGTGGTATGGTAGCTGTCGTGTTATAGGTGGTTGGTAGCTGTCGTGTTATAGGTGGTAGAGTGGTATGGTAGCTGTCGTGTTATAGGTGGTTGGTAGCTGTCATGTTATAGGGGGTTGGTGGCTGTCGTGTTATAGGTGGTTGGTAGCTGTCGTGTTATAGGTGGTAGAGTGGTATGGTAGCTGTCGTGTTATAGGTGGTTGGTAGCTGTCGTGTTATAGATGATTGGTAGCTGTCGTGTTATAGGTGGTTGGTAGCTGTCGTGTTATAGATGGTTGGTAGCTGTCGTGTTATAGGTGGTAGAGTGGTATGGTAGCTGTCGTGTTATAGGTGGTTGGTAGCTGTCGTGTTATAGGTGGTAGAGTGGTATGGTAGCTGTCGTGTTATAGGTGGTTGGTAGCTGTCGTGTTATAGATGGTTGGTAGCTGTCGTGTTATAGGTGGTTGGTAGCTGTCGTGTTATAGATGGTTGGTAGCTGTCGTGTTATAGGTGGTTGGTAGCTGTCGTGTTATAGATGATTGGTAGCTGTCGTGTTATAGGTGGTTGGTAGCTGTCGTATTATAGGTGGTTCGTAGCTGTTGTGTTATAGGTGGTTGGTAGCTGTCGTGTTATAGGTGGTTGGTAGCTGTCGTGTTATAGGTGGTTGGTAGCTGTCGTGTTATAGGTGGTTGGTAGCTGTCGTGTTATAGGTGGTAGAGTGGTATGGTAGCTGTCGTGTTATAGGTGGTTGGTAGCTGTCGTGTTATAGATGATTGGTAGCTGTCGTGTTATAGGTGGTTGGTAGCTGTCGTATTATAGGTGGTTGGTAGCTGTTGTGTTATAGGTGGTTGGTAGCTGTCGTGTTATAGGTGGTTGGTAGCTGTCGTGTTATAGGTGGTAGAGTGGTATGGTAGCTGTCGTGTTATAGATGATTGGTAGCTGTCGTGTTATAGGTGGTTGGTAGCTGTCGTGTTATAGGTGGTTGGTAGCTGTCGTGTTATAGATGATTGGTAGCTGTCGTGTTATAGGTGGTTGGTAGCTGTCGTATTATAGGTGGTTGGTAGCTGTTGTGTTATAGGTGGTTGGTAGCTGTCGTGTTATAGGTGGTTGGTAGCTGTCGTGTTATAGGTGGTAGAGTGGTATGGTAGCTGTCGTGTTATAGGTGGTTGGTAGCTGTCGTGTTATAGATGGTTGGTAGCTGTCGTGTTATAGGTGGTTGGTAGCTGTCGTGTTATAGATGGTTGGTAGCTGTCGTGTTATAGGGGTAAAGTGGTATGATAGCTGTCGTGTTATAGGTGGTTGGTAGCTGTCGTGTTATAGGGGTAAAGTGGTATGATAGCTGTCGTGTTATAGGTGGTTGGTAGCTGTCGTGTTATAGGGGTAAAGTGGTATGATAGCTGTCGTGTTATAGGTGGTTGAGGTAATATGGCTGTATGTGTACTGGGTGGTAGAGAGGTACTATGGCTGTATGTTTGTGTACTGGTTGGTAGAGGTACTATGGCTTTATGTGTACGGGGTGGTAGAGAGGTATTATGGCTGTATGTTTGTGTACTGGTTGGTAGAGGTACTATGGCTTTATGTGTACGGGGTGGTAGAGTGGTATTATGGCTGTATGTGTACTGGGTGGTAGAGAGGTACTATGGCTGTATGTGTACGGGGTGGTAGAGAGGTACTATGGCTGTATGTGTACGGGGTGGTAGAGAGGTACTATGGCTGTATGTGTTATGTAAAGACAACATTAGTGTACACAGTTCAGTGAGACACAGAAGGTTGTAGTGAGTGAAACCCGAATATATAGTTAGGTACATACATGGCACACAGTAGCTTACATACACGGCACACACTAGTAAAGCTGTTGGCTTAAAGTATAATTCGGACTTACTTGCGAGTCCATTTTGTCGCGGTTTTGCTCCTAGATACGCCAAATTGACGTTTGCTTTCCTGCCATCAATGATAGGATTTGGTTCTTTACATGCCCGCTCAGCCGCCAACTTGTCAGCCATTGTAACCTGCAGAGGCAAAAAATTAGAATGTAGGAAACAATTTGATATCTGCAATAGCAAGGGATATATCAGAATGTAGGAAACAATTTGATATCTGCAATAGCAAGGGATATATCAGAATGTAGGAAACAATTTGATATCTGCAATAGCAAGGGATATATCAGAATGTAGGAAACTTTTTGATATCTGCAATAGCAAGGGATATATCAGAATGTAGGAAACAATTTGATTTCTGCAATAGCCAGGGATATATCAGAATGTAGGAAACTTTAAACACCCTCAATCCTGTCTATATATCAGAATGTAGGAAACTTTAAACACCCCTCAATCCTGTCTATATATAAGATTGTAGGAAACTTTAAACACCCCTCAATCCTGTCTATATATCAGAATTTAGGAAACTTTAAACACCCTCAATCCTGTCTATATATCAGAATGTAGGAAACTTTAAACACCCCTCAATCCTGTCTATATATCAGATTGTAGGAAACTTTAAACACCCCTCAATCCTGTCTATATATAAGATTGTAGGAAACTTTAAACACCCCTCAATCCTGTCTATATATAAGATTGTAGGAAACTTTTAACACCCCTCAATCCTGTCTATATATCAGAATGTAGGAAACTTTTAACACCCCTCAATCCTGTCTATATATCAGAATGTAGGAAACTTTAAACACCCCTTAATCCTGTCTATATATCAGAATGTAGGAAACTTTAAACACCCCTCAATCTTGTCTATATATCAGAATGTAGGAAACTTTAAACACCCCTCAATCCTGTCAATATATTAGATTGTAGGAAACTTTAAGCACCCCTCAATCCTGTCTATATATCAGAATATAGGAAACTGTAAACACCCCTCAATCCTGTCTATATATCAGAATGTAGGAAACTTTAAACACCCCTCAATCCTGTCTATATATCAGAATGTAGGAAACTTTAAACATCCCTCAATCCTGTCTATATATCAGATTGTAGGAAACTTTAAACACCCCTCAATCCTGTCTATATATCATAATGTAGGAAACTTTAAACACCCCTCAATCCTGTCTATATATCAGAATATAGGAAACTTTAAACACCCCTCAATCCTGTCTATATATCAGAATGTAGGAAACTTTAAACAACCCCTCAATCCTGTCTAGATATCAGAATGTAGGAAACTTTAAACACCCCTCAATCCTGTCCATAATTATAATGCAGGCAGAAGAAACGAGCTGTTAACGAAAGATCGAGAGAAGCGGGGGGTTATTAAGTTTTAATGCTTCGACTCTAGCACGGTCAAACTCCACTCATCTGTTTCATACACGCCGCAGACGGTCAAACTACACTCATCTGTTTCATACACGCCGCAGACGGTCAAACTACACTCATCTGTTTCATACACGCCGCAGACGGTCAAACTACACTCATCTGTTTCCTACACGCCGCAGATGGTCAAACTCCACTCATCTGTTTCATACACGCCGCAGACGGTCAAACTACACTCATCTGTTTCATACACGCCGCAGACGGTCAAACTACACTCATCTGTTTCCTACACGCCGCAGACGGTCAAACTACACTCATCTGTTTCATACACGCCGCAGACGGTCAAACTACACTCATCTGTTTCATACACGCCGCAGACGGTCAAACTACACTCATCTGTTTCCTACACGCCGCAGACGGTCAAACTACACTCATCTGTTTCATACACGCCGCAGACGGTCAAACTACACTCATCTGTTTCCTACACGCCGCAGACGGTCAAACTACACTCATCTGTTTCATACACGCCGCAGACGGTCAAACTACACTCATCTTTTTCATACACGCCGCAGACGGTCAAACTACACTCATCTGTTTCCTACACGCTCCAAGCTCCACTCATAGACATTCAACCTTTTCAGTATGGACCATACTTTTCAAATGTTTAATATCTAACCCAACAGTTCAATATTTTACTGTTTCAAACAACTTTAGGAGTCGATGTGCATCAAACAACTTTAGGAGTCGATGTGCATCAAACAACTTTAGGAGTCGAGTGCGTCAAACAACTTTAGGAGTCGATGTGCATCAAACAACTTTAGGAGTCGATGTGCGTCAAACAACTTTAGGGGTCGATGTGCGTCGTTGATTGTTGTCGATCAAGTGAAGGCAGTTGTGTTGCTAGAGTTCAATGGGCTGTTGTGTTGCTAGAGTTCAATGGGCTGTTGTGTTGCTAGAGTTCAATGGGCTGTTGTGTTGCTAGAGTTCAATGGGCTGTTGTGTTGCTAGAGTTCAATGGGCTGTAAATCATCTTTGTCAGTCTGAAGCAGGGATAGGTGACCCCAGGGGTCGAACTCAGGACCTAGTTTATCAATTATTCCTTTTCACATATATAAAGGCTATATTTAACCTCTACATGTCACTAAAGATGGCTCAATCAGATTAAAGAACCAAGACATCATCTGCGACTCATTTAGACCTCTGACCGCTAATCCCTCGTGCGACCCTAAAACTCAGCATGACCCACAGCATGACCCACAGCATGACCCACAGTATGACCCCCGTATGTGACCGGTTTTATCTCAGTGTGTGTCGTGGTGCCAACTGGTCACCAACTCTTTAAGACATCTGGTCACCAACTATTTAAGACAACTGGTCACCAACTCTTTAAGACAGCTGGTCACCAACTCATTAAGACAACTAGTCACCAACTCTTTAAGACAGCTGGTCACCAACTCTTTAAGACATCTGGTCACCAACTCTTTAAGACAGTTGGTCACCAACTCTGACAGCTGATCACCAACTCTTTAAGACAGCTGGTCACCAACTCTTTAAGATAGCTGGTCACCAACTCTGACAGCTGATCACCAACTCTTTAAGACAGCTGGTCACCAACTCTTTAAGACAGCTGGTCACCAACTCTTTAAGACAGCTTGTCACCAACTCTTTAAGTCAGCTGGTCACCAACTCTTTAAGACAGCTGGTCACCAACTCTTTAAGACAGCTGGTCACCAACTCTTTAAGACAGCTGGTCACCAACTCTTTAAGACATCTGGTCACCAACTCTTTAAGACAGCTGGTCACCAACTCTGACAGCTGGTCACCAACTCTGACAGCTGGTCACCAACTCTGACAGTTGGTCACCAACTCTTTAAGACAGCTGGTCACCAACTCTTTAAGACAGCTGGTCACCAACTCTTTAAGACAGCTGGTCACCAACTCTGACAGCTGGTCACCAACTCTTTAAGACAGCTGGTCACCAACTCTTTAAGACAGCTGGTCACCAACTCTTTAAGACAGCTGGTCACCAACTCTTTAAGACATCTGGTCACCAACTCTTTAAGACAGCTGGTCACCAACTCTGACAGCTGGTCACCAACTCTGACAGCTGGTCACCAACTCTGACAGTTGGTCACCAACTCTTTAAGACAGCTGGTCACCAACTCTTTAAGACAGTTGGTCACCAACTCTGACAGCTGGTCACCAACTCTTTAAGACAGCTGGTCACCAACTCTTTAAGACATCTGGTCACCAACTCTTTAAGACAGCTGGTCACCAACTCTTTAAGACAGCTGGTCACCAACTCTGACAGCTGGTCACCAACTCTGACAGCTGGTCACCAACTCTGACAGCTGGTCACCAACTCTGACAGTTGGTCACCAACTCTTTAAGACAGCTGGTCACCAACTCTTTAAGACAGTTGGTCACCAACTCTGACAGCTGGTCACCAACTCTTTAAGACAGCTGGTCACCAACTCTTTAAGACATCTGGTCACCAACTCTTTAAGACAGCTGGTCACCAACTCTTTAAGACAGCTGGTCACCAACTCTTTAAGACAGCTGGTCACCAACTCTTTAAGACAGCTGGTCACCAACTCTTTAAGACAGCTAGTCACCAACTCTGACAGCTGGTCACCAACTCTTTAAGACAGCTAGTCACCAACTCTTTAAGACAGCTGGTCACCAACTCTGACAGCTAGTCACCAACTCTTTAAGACAGCTGGTCACCAACTCTTTAAGACAGCTGGTCACCAACTCTTTAAGACAGCTTGTCACCAACTCTTTAAGACAGCTGGTCACCAACTCTGACAGCTAGTCACCAACTCTTTAAGACAGCTGGTCACCAACTCTTTAAGACAGCTGGTCACCAACTCTTTAAGACAGCTGGTCACCAACTCTTTAAGACAGCTGGTCACCAACACTTACAGCTGGTCACCAACTCTTTAAGACAGCTGGTCACCAACTCTTTAAGACAGCTGGTCACCAACTCTTTAAGACAGCTGGTCACCAACTCTTTAAGACAGCTGGTCACCAACTCTTTAAGACAGTTGGTCACCAACTCTTTAAGACATCTGGTCACCAACTCTTTAAGACAGCTAGTCACCAACTCTTTAAGACAGCTGGTCACCAACTCTTTAAGACAGCTGGTCACCAACTCTTTAAGATAGCTGGTCACCAACTCTGACAGCTGGTCACCAACTCTGACAGCTGGTCACCAACTCTTTAAGACAGCTGGTCACCAACTCTTTAAGACAGCTGGTCACCAACTCTTTAAGACAGCTGGTCACCAACTCTTTAAGACAGCTGGTCACCAACTCTTTAAGACAGCTGGTCACCAACTCTTTAAGACAGCTGGTCACCAACTCTTTAAGACAGCTGGTCACCAACTCTTTAAGACAGATGGTCACCAACTCTTTAAGACAGCTGGTCACCAACTCTTTAAGACAGCTGGTCACCAACTCTTTAAGACAGCTGGTCACCAACTCTGACAGCTGGTCACCAACTCTTTAAGACAGCTGGTCACCAACTCTTTAAGACAGCTGGTCACCAACTCTTTAAGACAGCTGGTCACCAACTCTTTAAGACAGCTGGTCACCAACTCTTTAAGACAGCTGGTCACCAACTCTTTAAGACAGCTGGTCACCAACTCTTTAAGACAGATGGTCACCAACTCTTTAAGACAGCTGGTCACCAACTCTTTAAGACAGCTGGTCACCAACTCTTTAAGACAGCTGGTCACCAACTCTTTAAGA